GTGGGAGTGTTAATCTTTTCCCACGCATAACCGACTCTCGAATCTAAACTGTTGCATAGACCCTAACATTATCCTTTTAATAAATTTTAAGATTTTTATTAGAAGGATATATTTTAATAGGCAACTAATCACACCTAAACAAAAAAAGATTGGTGGCAACTATGTTATTTTTTTATTTTGTTTTCAAATTCGTTGGGCGGACATAAAACCATTACGACATATATTTCTAAAAAGCTTAGAAATTTGATAAACATTATTTGTTGGAAAAACTTTATGCAAATGTCGTCCCAAACTTTTGATTTCCATTTTCTATCCAAAAAAGTTTAGAGTTTAGGATTTAGGATAAATGTCATTTACCTTTGGTTTTGTTTGATTTTAGTTAAAATTTGAAATTTTAAAGCTTCAGGAAATAAGAATTGTTAGGTTTTTAAAAGCTTCTAGAAATTAAAATTAGGAAGCTTTTAAAAGCTTCTATATTTGCATTTTTAGATTCTTATAAAAGCTTCTAGAAATGCAAATTCTAAAGCGTCAATTACATAAACAAATTTCGACCAAAATTTAATGAAATAAAAACCAAATTTTAATGAAATAAAAACATACTTAACCAAAATCAAAGACAAATTACTTTTAAATTGAAGTTTGGTGACTTAGTTAACTCCAAAACTTAGTGATTTAAGAGTTGATTTTTTAAGTTTGAAAGTTTTAGACGAAATTGATTTGCAGAGAGAAATGGGTTTCTTTAAGAGGTGAAGGGTAAGAAAGTATTTAAGGAAAATAGTTGTTAGGGAAAATAACAGTTAGGGATTATGGGTATATTGTGTAAAAATTAGTTATTAAGTTTTGAATATTAGATATAAAGAGAAAATGGGTGTAAAAAGAAGTTTTTTAGATGCAAATAGTACTTTTCAAAATGAAAAAAAAGAACGGATGCAGTGAGGGAAATGTTTCTTATTAAATCCTTAAGGGTTTAGGCTTTAGGGCATTTTTAGCTCCCAATGTGGTCTAAAAGATCCTAATCACATTAAAGATTGTAATCCAAAGGGTTAAATACAAAAATGGTCTCGTGCTATACATTTTTATATCAATTTGGTATCTAAGAAACTAAAATTCTTATTTTGGTACCTAAACTTTCATTTTGTAAAATACTTTGGTACTCTAATCAATACCGTTAGTCAAGTTGCTTATGTGGCATTAATACCCAATAAATTTATGACATGTGGCAAAAATATCTTGTCATCGCCACATTATCTATTCTCCATATAAGCATGTAAATAAAAAAATTCAAAATTTTTTTTAAAAATATATATTTAATTCAAATTAAAAAAAAAAAAGAAAAGGAAAGAATTTGGAAAGAGAAAAAATAAATAATTTGTTGACATGGTGATGACTAGATATTTATGACATGTGGCATGATTGTATTATGTATTCATGCTACGTCAGCCATTGAACTAATGTTAACAGTGCAAAGTATGAAAGTGCTTAATGAATAAAAGTTAGAGTACTAAAATGAGAATTTATTTTGAATGTGAAAGTTTTAGACAGAATCAATTTAGAGAAGGAAATGGGTGTATTTGAGAGGTGATAGATGAGAGAGTATTTAGAGGAAAAAATAATTACGGATTACGGGTGTACTAAGTAAAAATTAGATTTTAAGTTTTGAGTATTGGATATAGAGAGAAATTGGGAGTAAAAAGAAATTTTTTGTATGTAAATAGAACTTTTCAAAATGAAAAAGGAAGGGATGTGGTGAGGGAAGTATTTCTTATTAAATCCTAAAGGTTTAGGGCATTTTTACCTCCCAGTGTCTAAAAAATCCTAATCACATTAGGGATTGTTATCCAAAGGGTTAAATACAAAAATGGTCTCATACTATACATTTTTTTATCAGTTTGATATCTAAAAAAATAAAATTATCATTTTTGTACCTAAACTTTCATTATGCAAAATGCTTTAGCACTTCAATCAATATTGTTAGTCAATTTACTTATGTGCCATTAATATCTAATAAATTCATGACACATGGCATAAATATCTAATTATTGCACATTATTTATTTTCTACGTCAATTTTTAAATAAAAAATTCAAAAATATTTCTTAATTCAAAATTAAAGAAGAAAAATAAAAAAAAGGGAAATAAGAGGGGAGAGAGAAAAAAATAAAACATTTGCTAACATGGCAATAATTGACAAGGGTATGATTGGATATTTATGACATGTGGCATGATTGTATTAAGTATTCATGCCATATCAGTCACTTAATTGATGGAACAGTATAAAGTACCAAAATGTTTAATGGATGAAATTGGAGTACTAAAATGAGAATTTTATTTTTTTAAAATACAAATTGAAAAAAAATGTATAATACATGTACAAAGTCAACTTGAGTAAAATTATACTCAAACACATTGATAAGTAGTTTTACTTATAAATAGTTCTTTTTTGGAAATTAGCTTCCCCTTTTTAAAAGGGTAAGACAATTTCTAAAAAAAATTACCTTATTTTCTATTGACTAGTAACTTATTTTCTGTTAACTGGTTAATTTTTTATCAAACAAATACCTAAAAATGTAAAAATCATTTTCAAAAATTATTTTATGCAAAACAAACAAACTTTTTTTAAATAACCTTTATCCAAACAGCTTTTAATGTGTTTGGGAGCCTCCAATTGGCTTTCTAAATGAGGCTTAAATTGTAGTACTTAAAAAAGTTTGAAATTAAATAAATATAACTGAGAGATTATAGAAGAAAGTGAAATTTTTATTAAAGGATAAAGACCACTTAGAGAATGGAAAAAAATGAGGAAAAAGGAAAAAAATAAAATTTTTACTGACATGATAATAATTGACATAGTAATGATTAGATATTTATGACATGTGGCACAATTTTATTGGATATTCATGTTACGTTAACCACTTAATTGTTGGTATTAAAATATCAAAATGCTTAACGGATGAAAGTTAGAGGATCAAAATAAAAATTTTATTTTTTTAAATATCAAACTAATAGAAGATGTAGATTATATGGGACATTTACATATTAACCGTTATCTAAACAGCTTCCAATGTGTTTAAAAACCACAACTGGCCCGCACAAGAAGTAATTGGCCTTCCAAGTGAGGCAAAAATTTTAATGCCGCGAAAGGTTTGGAATTAAGTAAATATAAATCACAGATTGGGCAAATTGTCCTTCCAAATAAGGCCTAAATTGTAATGCTTAAAAAGTTTAAAATTAAATAAATATCAATAAGAAATTAGGGAACAAAGTGAAACTTTTATTAACGGATAAAACCACTTTTGTTTATTTAACTTTAAAATAATTACATATACACATTACAATTTATGTGAACTAGCTATAAATATCATTTTGAGTAATTTTCAAAATTTATGCCAAATTACAGTTACATATATCACTTTTTTTTTTTTTTTAATTTGAGAGATAAAAAATTTAAACTTAGTTCTTTAAGCAAACATGATTCATACATGCTACCATTAAGCTACATGTTCTAATGTGCCCCTTTAAATCGTTGGAAGTTTATCAATTTATATATTATTTATATGAAAAAACAAATCGAATCCAACTCTTTAGAAAGGGATACATGTCATTGAATCAAATGTTCATATCTATATTATATTATATATTTAAACAAAATTATTTGTTTTAGACTTCAATTATACAAAGTTATCTTTTTATGCAATATTCAAAATTATATAAATTTTACTTATCAAAATAAATTTACAATTTTTATGCAATTACCTTATTATTTTCTTTGAATTTATCACTGTAATTTTAACACTTAAATAAATAAAATAAAAAACGTTAAAAATATATTCAACAACTATTATCAACACATAACTCAATCTCAAGAACCCTAAGCTAACTAATATTACCAAACCACATTCACATAATCAAGACAATAATAACACGATTAACAGAAAAAAAATACTAAACAAAAATTTTAAACAAAAATAACTGAAAAATCCCTAAAAAACAAATTTTTTTTTAAAAAAATCCATAAAATCTGGATTTTAAAGTTTTTTTGAAAAAATTATGTCTCCTATAAAAATAAAAAAAATCTTCGATATGATATTTTTAAAAAATTAAAAAAAAACAAAAAGCAACCATTTCAAAAAAAAAAAAAACTTAGTTTTAGATTTTTAAAGCCATTTATTTGAATTCTAAAAAATCCAAAAAAAATCAAGAATATTTTAGAAAAAAGAGATGTGATTAGTGGGATTCTTGAAATTTTGAGAGAGTTTTTTGGTTTTTAGGGCTTGATCTAAAAAATATATATATATATATATATATAATAAATGAAAGGTTTGGAGAAATCTTTTTATGGAAGGGAGGAGAAAAGGAAAACAAAGATGTATTTATCAATAAAAATCAAGAGCAAGAACGACAACAAATGAAAGAAATATAGGGGAGATGCTAGGATATTTCATAGAGAGAACGGAATGAGGAAGTAGAAAGAAGAAAGGAAAAAGTTTTGGCCTTTGTTTATTTTTTATTAAAATGGCCAAAACGAAAAGAAATTTTGGCCTTTTTAGTTTGAGTAACAAAAATGGTCTCAAACTTTGACACTTTGTTTGAATAAAAAAAAGTTTTGGCCATTGTTTTTTTTTTTTTTTTAAATATTTTCAATTAAAGAGATTAGCATTGCTAATACTTTAAAAAAATTGTCAAGTAAAAGTATTTTATTAACTAATATTTTTAAAATTTAAGAAAAATAATTTTTAATCTTTAATTTAATGAAAGAAAGAGAAAAGAAAAAATATTTTTAAAAAGTGATAAAAAATATGAAATTATAATATTTTGATTTTTTTTACTGTCCTCCTTTTTTTTTTTTTTTATCTTCGTTAAATTTTAAATATATTTTAAAATGATTTTAAATATAATAAAAATATTAATATGTATATATTTAAAAAGTTATCTTCAACAAGTTTTTTTATTTATTATTATTATTTTTTGGGTTTTTCTTTATTTAACCCATACCACCTCTAACCCAACCCAGTCGGCCCACGCAGAAAAGCAAAAAAAAGCGTACCCGTATTTCCAAAATTCCATTCCCGCGTTTCAGAAATGGAAGCAGACACCTGGGAAGCTCTAGACCTCGACGACTCTGACCTACCTTCCCTCATCCGCCCTTGCAAACGCAAACCCCAACCAACCCCTAAAAAGGATCTTCAACCCGTAATCCCAATCCCAAACCAAACCTCTCCGAGCCTCATCCCTGGCCCTGCCGGAGCTGTTCAAGCCGCAATGCTTCGAAAACTTCAGAAAAGAAACGACCCCTTTTGCATTGACGAAGAGACCCTCTCTACCCAGGAGTATATTAGGAGGGCCGTAGAGGATCCTTGCGCCGACGACGATGATTTCTCGCGTGATCCCTGGCTTTTCGCCCTCGAATTTATTCGCCGTGAAGGTTTTTAATTCTTTCTTTTTAGCAATTTTTGAGAAATTAAAAAACAAGTAGCAAAACTAATAAGAAAATTGCAGCTGCTTAAAATTTGGGGCTTACCGATCGTTTTGTTGTTTTTTGATGAAAGGTTTGGGCGATAATGGTGGGACAATTGGTACTCCCTTGAGTTGGATCAAGACTGAACCTAAAATGGGAAATAGGAAAGTCGCTCAGGTATATTGCTTTTCATGGTTTCCAAGTATTCAAAAAGCTTTTGACATAGTTGCTAGTCCAACTGATACAATTAAGCTTCCAAGATTCACTTTAATTTCTCAGTTTCCGAATTTGTATTCAATTAGGTTGTTGCCATTATCAAATCCTGTACCCCGAATGGTCTTGGTGATCTTATGGTGACTCTCAAGGTAAAAATAACTAAAGGATTTTGCTTGTAATTCATGCTTAATTTTCTTCTTTTTCGTTTTTGGTCCAACGCACTCTATTCTTTTAAGAACCTTTAGTGTGCCCATCATTTGATTTCAGGATCCTACTGGTACAATTGATGCTAGCATACATAACAAAGTCCTAGTTGAGGGAGGCTTTGGAAAAGACATATCTGTTGGCACAGTTTTGATACTGCAGAAGGTTTTTCATTGTTTTTGGCCAAATTTTAGAACAATTTAAGTCATGAACATTGAATGTTTGTATAGCGTTGTGTCATTTACTTTATATATTAGAACTAGTGTTATATCTTAATCCATATCGTTTCTAGTAGGGGGCCTTCATGTCTGTAGAACTTCATGTGTCAAATTGGAGTATGCAATGTTGTCATTCGTATCAAGACTTTGATTGAAGCACTGTATTTGCAGGTTTCAATTTTCTCGCCTTCGAAGTCTGCACGTTATCTCAATATAACACTCAGCAATGTTGTCAGGGTACATGTTACACATAACCAACTTTCTAGTGATTACACTCAATACTAACTAGTCAACTTCCTAGTGAATGTTTACACTCATACTCATGTTAGAGCTTTTGCCTTTGTTCTAAATTCTAATCACATCTCTGTTTCGCACATTTTTCTAGCTACTTTTGCCTGGTTGAGAAAGAAAAGCATACTGCTCTTCAAGGTTTCTTAATACTTCAAAATTGAATGTACTAGAGATTGTTGGGAACCATATTTCTAGCTACTAAAGCAAAATATAAACTGTTAAGAATCCGTATGACAATTCAAGTTCTTTAACAAGTGCTGAATATAGGTATTTTAGGTAGTCCCTCTCACATAGCATGCTGATGAACTTTCATATCTGTATCTATGCTACTGGTTTTAGATCACAACTGATACTCGGCACTTATCCTAAGATATCATGTCAATTATGATGCCTTATATGTATAAAAGTAAATGGTTATAATTTGATGGCTTTAAGCTTTTGGTTTGATTACTGACCGGTAAGAAGAAGTTAGTAACATGTTGGAAAGTACAAGATTGTAATAGAAAAGTTAAAAGTGCAGCAACATGTCACTAACCTGCATTTAGGAAATCAAAGACAAGTGATGCTCGAGAATAGCTTAGTTCTATTGTAGAAGTTTGATAAGCAAAGAAACATAGTGCTTCTAGGATATTGATATATCAATTAAAAATCGAGACAAAAATGGAAAATTTAAATTTTGAAATGGTAAAGCATTGGTGGAAACTACAATGTAGAATCAACATGCTTTACTATGAGATAATGGATCATTGTTGTGGTGTGTTGGGAATGAGCTGATAAGAGTAAATTGGCAATGAAGTTGAAAGTCCTTCCAGCACAAAGAGGTAATAGAAGAGGATTGTAAGTACAATTTTATAAAGAAAACTGAAAATTCTCATAGTAGCTAAGATTCGAGTGCAAGACATTTTTTGAGCATTGGTTGGCAAACCAACTATAACTAGGCCAATGACCAATAAGCCAACAAAATAGGACATATATGGCAAAGCATAGACTTGGAAAATACGAATCCTGTTGAAGTTATCACAATGATTTCAAATTTATGAAATGATTTATATAACAACTATTTAGCACTAGCTTGATAGGGAATAGATTTCTGAGATTCACTAAAAGCCATATCAAATGCACTATAAGTTCAGTTAAGAGATCACCAGCCTGAATTTCTTGTCTTACATGGACACTAAAATGCAACATATTAAAGCTTAATTTCTCTAATTGGGATACTGCCCATGATTTTTTAGGATTGGCAATAATATATAAATATATAAATTGTGGAAACTGAATGTATATTGAAAAACTGCTTATCTACAATTATAAAAAAAATCTTAGGTTTATATACAACTAACTAGGGGTTAAACTAGGAAACTAAATCTTCCTTAATTCTAGGGATACAAATACTTAATTCTAGAGATACAAATATAAATATACAGATTACAAGATTACAATCAGCTGTAAATAAGTGTTTTCCCACACTCCCCCTCAAGCTGGTGAATAGGTGTTTTCCATTCCCAGCTTGGAAATAATTTCTTGAAATGCTGCACTGCTGAGACCTTTAGTCAACACATCTGCAAGTTGACCCTTGGTTGATACATAAGGTGTACAAATCAACCCACTGTCTAGTTTCTCCTTTATGAAATGCCGGTCTACTTCAATGTGTTTTGTTCTGTCATGTTGCACAGGATTGTGTGCAATGCTTATTGCAGACTTGTTATCACAGTAGAGTCTCATTGGTCCATCCCACTTGATCTTCAAGTCCTTTAGGATAATCTTTAACCATAGTAGTTCACAAATTCCTTGAGCCATTGCTCTGAACTCTGCTTCAGCACTTGATCTTACCACCACATTCTATTTTTTACTCCTCTAAGTCACAAGATTACCACCTAAGAAAGTGCAGTAGCCTGAGGTAGATCTTCTATCAGTTACTGAACCTGCATAATCAGCATCTGTATATGCTTCTAGAACTAACCCCGAATCTCTTTTGAATAAGATACCTCTCCCAGGATTGGCCTTCAAATAGTGCAATATACGGTAGACAGCTTGTAAGTGCACTTCTTTAGGACTATGCATAAATTGACTTGCCACACTCACAGCATATGCTATATCAGGTCTAGTATGTGAGAGATAAATGAGTCTTCCAACTAATCTTTGGTACATCTCTCTATTTACAGCAGCATCTTCATTAGCTTCTCCAATTTTATGATTAGGATCTATAGGGGTATTTGCAGGTTTACATGCAAGCTTTCCAGTTTCCTTCAGAAGATCTATCACATATTTCTGTTGTGAGATAAAAATACCATGCCGTGAGTGAGCTACTTCAATTCCTAGGAAATATTTCAATCTCCCTAGCTCTTTTATCTCAAATTCTCTAGCCAAACACTGTTTTAGAGATTCTTTCTCTTTTTCATCATCTCCAGTTACAATTATATCATCAACATACACTAATAGAACTGTGACTCTCCCTGAATCAGAGTGCTTGATAAACAATGTGTGATCTCCTTGACTCTGTTTATATCCCATTGCTAGCATTACTTTGGCAAATCTCCCGAACCAAGCTCTAGGAGACTGTTTAAGGCCATATAAAGCCTTTTTTAACCTGCATACTTTGTTTGCTTCTAGATGACCTTCAAATCCCGGTGGAACCTTCATATATATTTCTTCTTCCAAATCACCATGTAAAAAAGCATTCTTTACATCAAATTGTTGAAGCTGCCAATTGTAATTTGCAGCCAATGATAACAAAATTCTAACTGTATTCATCTTGGCAACTGGAGCAAAGGTTTCCTGGTAATCCACTCCATAGGTTTGAGTGTAGCCCTTAGCCACTAACCTGGCTTTATACCTTTCAACAGTACCATCTGCCTTGTATTTTACAGTGAAAACCCATTTACACCCCACTGGATTTTTTCCTTTAGGCAACTCTACTAGTTCCCATGTCTGATTTTTCTCTAAGGCCTCCATTTCTATTTTCATGGCTTGCCTCTATTTCTCACTGGATAATGCCTCAGATAATGTAGTTGGAACAGAAATAGTGTTTAGGCTTACAAGAAAATTTTTGTGGGATGGTGAGAATTTTTCAAATGACACAAAATTAGATATTGGGTATAGTGGATGTTTGGTACATTCTCTGGTTCCTTTCCTAATGGCAATAGGCAAATCATAATCACTAGTTATAGTTTTAGGAGATTCATGCTCATTTTGAGAAACAGAGTCAAAAACTGTAGTTACCTCATTTCCAGAGTTAGGATCAGGTTCTTGGACTGGCACTGGTTCAGGATCTGGAACTTTCCTTCTTGAGTACACCTGTAATTCCTTTATAGAATCAAAAACAATATTATCTTTTGTCACATCTTTCGTATTTGGAATGGGTTCAGACTCAAATTCAATGTTTGACTTGGGCTCAACAGAAACAGGTTTCGACTCATAAGAATTAATGGGTGTAAATGTTGAAGAAGGGGGCAAATCAAGCAAAAAGAAGTCTTTATCCTTATCTTCCATGAATGAAGTCTCCCCCTGAAGATAAGGTTGAGTAAAAAATGGTTTATTTTTTTCAAAAGTGACATCTGTAGACACATAAAATTTTTTGGTAGGAGGATGATAGCACTTATATCCTTTTTGAGTTGAAGAATACCCCACAAAAATACACTTAATCGCTCTTGGATCCAACTTTCCCTTGTTATGACTGTGAACATGAACAAATGATGTACAACCAAATATCCTAGGTGTGAGATTGTTTGTGGTATTGAGGTTGGGATAAAATTGTGAGAGTAGTTCCATAGGAGTTTTAAATCCCAAAACTCTTGAAGGTAACCTATTTATAATGTGTGTAGTAGTGAGAACAGCTTCCCCCCAATAAGATTTAGGTACATTTGCTTGAAAAAGAAAGGCTCTGGTTGTGGCTAATAAATGACTGTTTTTTCTCTCTGCCACTCCATTTTGTTGTGGAGTATTAACACAAGATGACTCATGGATAATCCCCTCTTTTTGGAAATAGATGGATAGACTTTGGTTGAAGTAGTCTTTTGCATTATCAGACCTAAATCTCTTGATTCTTACTCCAAATTGATTTTGGATCATGTTTTGGAAGCTTAAAAACACACTATTCACATCTGATTTGGATTTAAGTAAAAAAACCCAAGAGACCCTAGTACAATCATCTATGAATGAAACAAACCATCTCGCACCAGAAATATTAAGAATTGTAGAGGGACCCCAAATGTCACTATGAATCAAGTAAAAAGGAGTAGAATTTCTTTTGTTACTGATTGAAAAAGACACACGTTTATGTTTTGCAAATTCGCAAATATCACAATGAAAATCTTCAACATTTAATTCTTTGAACAAAGAAGGAAACATGTTTCTCAAGGTTCCAAAAGAAGGATGTCCAAGACGAAAATGATAAAGCCAAATTTTGTCTTTATTGGAGGATTTTTCAGAAAGAAATGATAAAGGTAAACTATTTTTGATACTACTTGTGTTATTTGATGTCTCAAGATAGTATAGTCCATCCTTCTCCTTAGCAAGTCCAATCATTTTCCCCGAACTCTGGTCCTGAAATTCACAATAAGAGAGATAAAAAGTTACTTTGCAATTCATATCTCTGGTAAGTTTTTGTATAGATATCAGATTAGTAGACAATCTAGGAACATGAAGAACATTTTTGAGAACAAACGAGGGATTAACTTGAACATCTCCTAATCCTGCCACTGTGGTAAGTGAACCATCAGCAACAACAATTTTCTTATTACTAGCACACAGGTTATATGTACTAAACTTTTGTGGGGAATGTGTCATGTGGTCTGTGGCTCCTGAGTCAATGACCCAAGAACTCGTAATAGGCTTAGCCGAGACATTTAATCTATGAGAACCGGAAGTTTTACCTGAACTAGAAACTTTACCCAAAGAACATACTATAGTAGGCTTTTCAAGGATTTTCAATAAGTTTCTCAGCTTTTCAATCTCTTCCCTGTTGAACTCTCATTGTTTCTGAGACATCTGTAGTACTCCAGTGATTTTTCCAGTTAACATTTCCTCAAATTGGGTGATAGTGATATCTTTCTTTGAAAGGGTTTGGCAATGAAGGCCTAAACAGGATTCGGCAATGAAGGCCTAAAAAAGTCAGCAATGAAGGTTGAAAATTTTTCTTCACAAGAAGAGCCTAAAGCTCTGATACCACGTGGAAACTGAATGTATATTGAAAAACTGTTTATCTACAATTATAAAAAAAATCTTAGGTTTATATACAACTAACTAGGGGTTAAACTAGGACACTAAATCTTCCTTAATTCTAGGGATACAAATACTTAATTCTAGAGATACAAATATAAATATACAGATTACAAGATTACAACCAGCTGTAAATAAGTGTTTTCCCACATAAATATATATATATATATATATAGAAATATATATATATATTTTTACAAAAGAGTGATCCACTTAGACCAGTGTAAGTATTACACATTTTTGAACTCTTGGATCAAAATGACTAATTGTAAGTGTTATGGATTTAATTTTGATTCAAAGGTCAAACTAAAACTTTTTAGTTTTACATCTTTTTCTAACTATTGATTTCAATATATCCAAGGGATGAGATTAAGCTATTTTTTTTCTCTTTTTCCCTTGTCTCTCTCTTTCGTTGGCTCTATTGAAATCAATGATTTAAAAAAGTGTAAAACTAAAAAGTTTTATGCTAGTGTAAGTTGATCCTTCCTCATATATATATATATATATAATTCTAAGATTCACTAAAAGCTGTATCAAATGCACTATAAATTCAGTTAAGAGATCACCAGCCTGAATTTCATGCCTTACATGGACACTAAAAAGCAACATATTAAAGCATAATTTCTCTAATGATTTTTTAGGATTGACAATAATATATAAATATATAAATATATAGAAATATATATATATATATATATTTTTACATAGGAGGGATCCTCTTAGACCAGTGTAAGTATTACATTTTTTTGAACTCTTGGATAAAAATGCCCAAGTGTAAGTGTTACGGATTTAATTTTGATTCAAAGGTCAAACTAAAAATTTTTTGTTTTACACCTTTTTTTAACTATTTATTTCAATATATCCAAGGGATAAGATTAAACCATTTTTTTCTCATTTTCACTTGTCTCTTTCATCCATTGGATCTATTGATATCAATGATTAAAAGTGTAAAACTAAAAAGTTTTATGCTAGTGTAAGTTGATCCTTTCTCATATATATATGTATATATAGATAGATAGATAGATAGATAGATAGATAGAAACAACCACTTAACAAATTTAGGTAGTTCAGACCCTTGAAATTAATGAAAAAAATTCCAAACACTTTCACCTAACATCATACAATACATTTGTGCAATACTTGATCTTGACTCCTCATAACATATGCATTTAGAATTTTGTAGTTGCATTTATTTTTTCTGACCAGCGCTTTTAATTTCAAAATTATATAGAGGATGATTAAGTCGTCCGAAATTTTAACTAGTATGGATTGTTCAGTGGATACAAAGCATTATTTGCCAACTTGTACCATCATTTGTCAGATAAATCTAATTGGATGGATTCTTGGTATATGCCCTTTTTAAACTCCAAACACTGCCACTGTGTAACTTGTGCTACTAAACTGTTCAAAGGACCTGTGTGCCCAAATTTCCAACCTGTTACCTTGGTGCATTATTTTTAAGTCATCACCTTGTTACACTTTAGTGATTACTAATTAGCAAATCATATTTGTTGTAATGGTAAATCTGTAGGCCACAGCCATGTTCATAACTGTTTATAATATGAAGTCCACATGAGTGGAAGTTTTTCCATTACAATTTTTAAGTTTCTACTGTTCCCTATGGTATGGCTTTCACACAAATCTTTGAGCTTGGAAATTTACTTGCTGCTCAAAAATGTAGCTGTGAAAATCAAATGCATTAACTCAGATCTCTTAAACATCTAAAATTTGAGGAAAATCCTTTTTTAGTCTACAAAGAAACCCTAGATGTTTACACTACTTGCTGATATACTTCAAAAATTTTGCAGGCAATCTCAAAGAGTAATGAGCCTCTGTCACAACAGAATCCTGCATCAATGGTCACACCTACTGTTCATGGTGTTGGTTAGTGAAATATTTCTTTGATGAATGGCTTCTCTTTGTTGTCTAATTGGGAAATATTTTGGTTTTTGTTCTACTTAAGAGTACAATTGAGCATTTTTTGGATTCTTTTCCCTATTCGATAGTGGATTACATAATGAAAAATTACCTTTGATCCTCTAGCTCAGATTTGGAACTCAACACGTATTTTATATAGTCCACTCCCAACGCCTTTTATCCTTGGAGGTTTCATCATGTCTGTATCAGATTGTTTAAATAGTAATGCTGAATGTTACTCTGACTGTTAATCCACTTTCATTCCCACAGAAAACAATAAACAACTGGGGAACCAGCAGAAAGTGTCCACTCTGTCACAGGAGAGAAATGAAGAAACCATGAACAGCCTCAGACAGACTGTTTATATGAGAGGGAGAGTGTGTAATGACAAAGGAATTGAAGCAGATGAAGCATTGGGAAGCAGCTGCTGTATTAATGGGAGAAATAGAAGTGAAAATGCCTTTGCAGGGAAGGACCCTTCAGTGAGGCAGGATGCTGTCAGTGGAATGAAAAAAACAGTTGTAGCTGGCACCGATGAACATGAGGAAAATATTGTGCTGGAGAAGCAGCCCAGCCCCCGGAATCTGGCAAGGAGAGACAATCACCTGGAAAGCAACCAAAGCAGCGGTGGTGCAAACTTGTTTGGTGTTGCTGTCAACCTGCAGGAACAACTGAATGTAACTATGAATGCAGATAAGAAACAAAGACAGCTATCGATTTCAAGAGGCTCACTTCCGCAATGGACTGATGAACAGTTAGATGAGTTGTGTTCATTTGATTGAGATGATGATGGATCAGATTGCGTCCATTCATTTTGTCACACCCATAACATAAAGATGGGGTCATATGAATTTTGCAGTGTATAGATGGCATGCTTTAGTGGCTGTGGATTCAATTTTTGTTAAGACAGATGAGTGCTTCGTCATTCAGGGTTTCTACATCCTGCTTCCCTATTGATCTTCCCTTTCTTTAGTTTTGAATTTATTGCTCTATTTAAAGTAATGGATCAAATTGATTATTTTTTTAATATGTTTTATTCGGTGTATATAGTTTCTAATTTGATTAAAAAATATCAAAAACTATTTATATACATTTGATAATGATATGGACTTTCATTGATGCAAATCAGGGTTACAGATAAAAGTTGGATCAAAGGATTCTACATTGAATTCATTCCGCTTCCACGTTCACGTTCAAGTATGCCCAACGTAACCGTGGCCTTAGCTGAAATAAAAGCTTACTGTTTTTTGAATCAAGAAATAAAACCTTTTTAGTTTGCAGCTAATGGCTACAAAAAATCACTTACTTGACAAACAAAATTCAATTCTCAACATCAGAGAACAGGCCACCAGTTTTATATAAAATGGAAAACATAGGAAAGAAATGTTTAAAAGCCAGCCAGCCAGCCATTCTTGATCGACATTATTGTGTAAACCTCACCCACAACCCTAGCATTATACACAAAAAAAAAAAAAGAAACAATAAGAAACAAAATTGTACTATACCTACAAAAATTCTGACAATAATAAATTAAATAATGCTGCAGACAAAGTGATGAGATCAAATGGTAACATCTCGACAAACCTTCATAAGGAGGAGACTTTCATGTAACCAATGCATCGCTCATCCGGCGACCATCAGATAAGCATGAAAATCTCCATCTTATTAGGGCCATTTGATTGATGCAACAATATCAAGGGAGACTCAACTCTGCAACAGTGAGTCCACTTTGATTATCTTCATCCAACCACCTATTGAAACAACTTCCTTATTCTCTCAGCAGAAAGGGCTGCTCTTTTATTTGTTGGCTCAAGCAGCAGGGCATACCTAAAGTCTGCATTTGCAAAAGTGCCATTAGTGCAACAGAAATTTGAAATCTTTCTCTAGGAACAAAGGTTACAACTTGAATATATGCATAATTCTGTTAATGTCATTCTAAAGTTCAGTACTTGTCTGTGTTACTTTCCCGCTTCAGCCAAAAGTACAAAAGCATGTTATATTTTATTCCTCACCAAGACGAAGAACATCATATTGTTTCCATTCTAAAAAACTTTCTGAAGACATACAATTCACACAGGCCATAAGCACTCAAAATTCTTCATCCTGACTAAGTCCAGATAGCAGCTTACATACAGATAACAATACAGAAAACTTAAAAATGCAAAGTGAGAACTCCACCCTCAATTGCATCCTTACAGTAACCAAGCATTTCTCTAGCAGTGCCTCTTCGTAAATATGCTTTTACATTCTGAGCAATATTTAATAGGAAATAATATTATGGCAATGGAAACACAGGGAAGAAGAAAGTTTTCATGAACTACTAAAAACAGGGAGGCAATAAGTATACCTTACTGCTATGTGTAAATAATAATAAAATAAGAAAAAATCAGGTCAAGGAAATTCTCCACTAAAGTCAAGCATCATGCAACACTACTGCATTCATTAACAGCTCTAGTCAATGGATAAAAAAAAAAAAAAACTAATCTAAACTGTAAATGGGACCATAATGAATGGTACAATATGCATTTTTGTTGCTTACTTCAAAAAAGTTACCTAATTAACAACAATTCCCAAGATTAGCTTATTTTCATATGCATGCTCTTGAATACTTCACCCTTTGTCAAGAGACAAATTTTTGTAATTGTCTTCAAAAACAACATAAAACCAATTCCGGATTTTTGTTTTACAATAATCCATACAACTAGTTTGATAGTGGCCAGCCTCTTCATATCAAACCAAGCTCATATAAAGAAAATCCAAATGATTAACAGACACATTTCATTTATTTCTCTTTGAACAAAATATAATTTTAAATGCAAACAACGACAAGCACCTCCAAAACAGATTCAGGCTCCATTACAACACTTTTTACCACTTAACTTTCACTTCTTGAAAAGTTACTCTAAAGCAAAAGTAATAAAAGAGCAAAGTCAAATCTCCCTCCATTTCAAATTGACTGCACACTTAGTAACTGGCATAAAGTTTTACAAATGAGGTATTTTGTCCATTACTCTACAATTTTACCCTTCAAGTTCCATAAAAGCTAGGGGCTGGCCCACCTAGAACATTGTATTTTCTTTGAAAAGAAACATTATTTTTATAAGTTGGTTAGTGTTTTAATATAGGACATAGGAAAAATGTTTCCTATTTTGGCAAAATGGACACTATTATGAAACATGCTAAAATAGTAAGATATAAAGTTAATTTGAAAGAGGGGATAATTTATTAGAATAAACAAATGGCTAAAAATATAAAAATAATTCACATATGAATTTGAATAAATGCAGATTTTTATCCAGGAACATAAATTTTTTATACTTTTACTACCTAAAAATTAATGTTTATAACTTTTGCTTTCAGTAACAAAAAGACCAATCAACTCGATCCCTAGCATGGATTAAGTTACATCATATCGTTAGAACAGCAATGGAATTATGAAGTTGCAAAGAGAGACACTTTTTGAAACAAATATTAGGAATCACAGGACTTATGATTTTGAAGCAAATTCAATCCTATGCCAATATAATCAAAGGCATAAAAAGAGCCATATGTGGCCTAAAACATAAAAACAACATAAATAAAATAAAATCATTATCTTTCAGGAAGGAAATTACATTTTTATCAAAGTTGATGGCTTTGGTACAATCTGCCTCTGTTGGACAAAACTGAATGGAAAACAAAATAAGTATAAAGAAAGTACCAGAAAACCTCAATGCAAGGAGTCAATTCTAAAGAGTATAATATTACCTCCCTAGTTCAAGATATGCTGCAGCCCTGTTGCTATAACACGTTGCATTATTGCCACTAAGCTTGATAGCTTCAGTATAAAACCCAACAGCCTTTTTCCATTGTTTATCTTTGTATGCTTGGTTGCCCTGAATCATTGAATTTACAAACAGAAGAAATTTATTTAAGATAAAGAAGAAAATGTACAAACCAAACAATTTGTGCAATACTTCTAACTATGTGATACTATACCCTAGGCTCTAAGTAACAACTCGAGGATAAGCAAATCTCATAAGAGATTTGTTTGAGATTTGTTTGAGATTTTTCAGATATTACTTGATGGACAAGAAGACTTGCAAAAAAAGAATTCTAAGAGAAAGAGGATTCTTAATAGGTAAGTTTGACTTGCAAGAGAAGAATTCTAAAAGGAAAGGGATTCTTAATAGGCAAATTTGACTTATAGGAGAAGAATTCTAAGAGGAGAGGGATTCTTAATGGGCAAGTTTGTATGGTTATAAATAGGTGAAGTCTCTACAGGGTTAGGTATGAGAAAAAGATGTAAGAGAGTTGTAGGATTTTGTGAGATAGACACCGCATAGGAGTATTGGGGCTCTACGTCTTATGGGTGTGTATGTTTGTTTGTGAGTGGACTAGAAGAGACTGAGAGGGTCCACATAGGTATGATGTATGGGAACATATGGGTATGTGTTTGGTTGTATTGAAAAGGTGCACAAGAGTTTGGGTTTGTGTTTGTTTGGGTAAAGAATACTTCATAAGACTAGAGGAGATTTAGAGTGTCTTATGAGTATTGATTGTTGAGTGGGGTTGATAATATGATGTATGTTTGTAATTCTCTACAACTAGTGGATCTTGTTTCTCATCCGTGGATGTAGGTCAGTTGGACCGAATCACGTTAAATTGTTGTCTCTTGTGTGTTTGATTTATTGTTTGATTTTACTTTCGCTGTGTGTGATTGAATTGGAGGCTTTTAGCCCAACAAATGGTATTAGAGCTGTAGTGTTCCCTAACAAATAGTGTCAGAACTGTAGTGTTCCCCAACAATTTAGACATATGACAAGCTTTAAATAAGCAAACATATAGACAATCTTAACTAAAAGAAACACGATTTTCTCTGTTTCTTTTCAAAAGTTAGCATTTCATGGTAAGCACTGCGATCAAATTTCCTACAGCTACAACCATTTTTTAGAGCAACTTTACTTTTAACAGCCCCAGCAAGTACTTAGTTCCTTAATATTTCATATTCTATACAATATCACCCCAGTGTTTTCTCTAGTTTTTCAAATTGATTCATTTGATCATAACAAACAAGATATATAACAGGTATAAGTATATGAACTCTAATTTGACTTGACAAAAGTGAACTGTGACTGACCCTCAAATTGCCTAGAACAATGATGGTTTAAGAAAGAGTTATTAGACCATTTTAATAATTGGTAAGATTTTAATCTGAAACATAAAACCATCTCACAATATTATCACTCAAGTTAAAGCTCAAGTTCATCAACTGAAAACTGTATTAAGGAAAGCCCCAACCAATCTTCATGCTTACCATTATAAATTAGGAGATTGAAGAATTAGTGAATCATGATATTCCCATTGGTTCATGTTGTAATGATAAGGATAAATAGTGACTCATGGGAGGTTGGTAACTGAAAAATGATACTCAGGTACTTCAAACTCATTCCATGTCAAAGACAAACTAGAAGAGAAGTTTCTATGTTATCAAAATAAGTTGTTACGTTAGATAATGTAGTAAATTCCAATATATAGAAAATTCAACACCCATCTCAAATTTACAGATCCGAAAATCTTGTTTGATGCTAAACCAATAAATTCTACAGAACTAATGATGCAGAAAATAAAGACAATAATTGAAGAATTATATTATTTAGGGTTCTATAAATTAATCTGTTAAGTTTTAGGGGCTGACTAGTAAATTTCATATATTTAAAATGTTTATTAATAGTAATCACTTTTGGATTGTTTCTTGTCTTTTCCTGTCTGCTCCTTTTCCACATTCTGATTCTGTCTTCATAGTCCAACCTATTTCTCTCTCTATTTGGATATCATGATTCCTCTCCTATTTCCTTCACACGGTGCCACATGAAATTTCATATAAGAGCATCAAAATGTAGCTTACAAAATCCTGAATCTCTGTTCTAGAAAAATAGTTATGTGAAACAAAAAAAATCTTTCCCCAGCAAATCAATAACCTATAAATAACTCTTTCCGGCACCATTCTTTCCAAAGTTAAGACATCCAGATGCATTTCCAAAGGAGGAAAAGAGAAGGAGAGAGGAAAAGTTGCACTGCCAAAGCCTAGCTCTCCCTCTCGACTGATCCAATCGGAAAACTGACATGTTTATTTGGCCATCCAGCTCATGATCTTCTAGACAGCAAAGTTTGGTTGCCATGCCAAGGACACACATGCCTCCACACATTAGTCAAAATATCAGGTCAGATCAGCAACATGTAAAGCGTGTCCAGCTGATTCAGATCTGCAGCAAAGTCATGCATGTGATATCATCTTGTACACCGACTTCCAAATAATCATCTATATCAGCAATTTATTCAGGAATGTGATTGCCAATTACTTTCTCCACGTCATCAAGTTGACAAGAGACCCCTTCCCACTGCAGATTCCATTTTTTACATCCATTTTGATATATTCACCCGTTCCCATGTCA